CGCTGGCCCCGGGCTGGGGGGAAACTGAGGCAGGGGGAGTCCGGGTCTCACGTTCCCCAAGCCCGGGGGTTTGCCTAGCTCTAGCTGCCCCTGCCCCGCTTAGGCAGGGCCGCGTGTGGCACGGGGTGGGCACACACGTGTGCGCAGCGCGGGGGAAACGGCAACTATTGCAAGCCAGAAAACAGAAACCTGCAGCTTGGTGGGAGCAGCCCCCCCCATGGCCACCTCCCTTCCCAGCCTGGGCTCCCCCAGAAACCCGGGAATCAGCAGAGGCGCAGGGGATCCCCTCTCTCCGGAGAAGGCATCCATCCACAAGATGACCAGAAACAGAGCCGCGCACAGGCAAAAGCAGCCAAACACACCAAATCTAAGACGACCCTGAATTTAAGATGACCACCCTCCCCCATCATTAGATTCGAGGTCTGGACTATTTATAGGCACGATGGTTTTGCAGGTCTAGAATCTAATTATTGGCCGGTCACCTTGAATTCAGCCCCTTTCCCCCCCGCTGCTGCAGGGGAGAAGGCAGTGGGGAGGGCAAGTAGCTCAGTTGTGCATGCCACCTCCGCCTCCTCCCCACTTCCCCTGCCAGCCCCTGCTCGGGGCCAGCAGGTTCAGCCCCACTTCTAGCCTGGGGCACTGAGCAGTGGGCTGCACACTGCTGCTACAGGGCTGGGCTGGGGTGCTCAGCACCCCAGGCAAGAGCAGGCACAGTGCAGAGCAAGGGTAATGGGAAGGGAGGGAGAGGGGCAGGCAGGGCAGCAGAGGCTGCATGCAAGGGAGAGATGGGGGAAGAGGCTGCAGGGGGGAGATGGTGGGGTGAGGGGGACAGGCAGCAGCTGGGGCTATGGCTCTGACCCTTGACTAGAGGCTGGAGCTACCCCCACCACCCTCATACTCCATTCTAAAATGAGGGGGGTTCCCCTCATCCTAGAATCAAGTAAATAAATACAGTATTTCTAAATTTCCAGTCAAGTTTGGGGCCCCATTTTGCTGATCATTTTAGGCAGAGTAAACCACAGAGCCTGCAAACTAACAAGAGAAAACATAGGACAAAAAGAAATGTTATCCCCATTTTACAGGGGAAGAACTGAGGTGCAGAGAGATTAGGGGCTGCAAGGAAAGTTTAGAGCAGAGGTGGAAACACAAGTCCCAGTTTAGTGCGTTATCCACATGGCCTTACTAAGGTACTGATTCTAAAGTATAGAGAGGATTTTTTCAAGAACTGTTTCCTTTCAATATGTGACTGTGTGTACGCAGAAAATCGCATATTTGTTTTTTGGCAAAAAATGTAGGCAGGTAGTGATACACTGCTTTATCTGAATATTTTTGACCTGTTTAGATCGAAGAAGACTTTAATCAAAATTGCTTTTGTGAGAGAGAACAAGAAAAATATTTGGAACTTTTTATGATGACTTTTATTTAGGAGATTAGTCGAGCACCAGATCCAAAGCCCCACCAAAGAGAGACATTGCAGAGATTCAGGTATTGCTTATGTTGGCTCATACTAAAGTATTTTTTTCTCCTTCTTCAGACTCGAAGACAGCAAAAGATGATTTGATGTTTGCAACTCCAAATCCCAGAAGAGACAATACCCTGTTGACAGAAAACTATCATAGGATCCTGGAAAAGTCATAGAAATAATACTAGAAGAGACTGGACAAAACACAGCACGTCAAATCAACACCAGGTAAGCTGTGTGTTTATGGGTGCCAACAGGGAGAGTTTAAACTTGAAGAAACTTGTGGTACAGGTTATAGCCTAAGACTGGGAACATAATACAAAGACCCCTTTTCCCCCTTCAGTACAGTTGCTAACCTTACCCCTATTAAGCAATGCTAACTTTTTGAAGTTAGCAGCAAAATCTTTGTCAGGTCTACTGAAGCAGGATCAAATTTTAAATATTTTACAAAAAGTTAGGCTTGTTTTTTCCCCATGCGTGAAGTTTTATACCATTCCCATACCCTGCAGACATTGCTTTCTAGCTAGACCCCAAGTGCACCCGAGCACACTTTGCAAGTGCAGCTCAGCTGTGGTGTAAAAGGCTTTTCACTATCTTAATGTTGCCCAAGCCTAGGAAGAAGTCTAAGGTTAATTTTGCTCCTGGGCACAAGCTTGAATAGTCCCAGAGTCAACTTGTACCGGCTGGAATAGCCCTGTAGATGGCATTGTAATTGCCCAGGTTCACCTCAGTACAAGGCAATCCTGCCAGATTTCTAATACCCCCCAGCAAACAGAACCAGCTAAAGCATTTTTATTCCAGCTATGTCAGGGGTATAGGTTATAGCCATGTTGGTCTAAGGACATAGGCAGACAAGGTTCTTTGGTAAATCAAGTATATTTTATTAAACCAACTAAAATAGTTGGAAAAATTCTTCTTTGCATCCATCCTGGACAAGCACAGACCAACTACAAGCTTCCTCAGCCTAAAGAAAGGTGCTTGCACCTGAAAGCTTCCAAAGAAGAATTTTTCCAACTATTTTAGTTGGTCTAATATTGTATTTGCCCAAATAACCTTGTCTACCTTATTCCAGCTAAGCATTTCCAAAAGAGGAGCCAGGATTTGGCTCCCTATTCCTAATTATTCATATTCTTCTGTCAAAATGAAATAACTCTTTCCTGCTAGAAAATATTCTCTCTCCATATTTTGTAAGTTTCCATTAATCAGCTCAGACAAGCATTTATCACCATGTGATTAAGAAGACTTTGTGTTTTTAGCCTAAACAGATGAATGGGGAACTGGCAGCATAATTGCAGTAAACTGTGGTGATGATGATCTACTGATAGCACAGAAACTCTTCTGTTCAAGGGCTCATTAACAGAGCCAGCCTCAGGGATTTATAAGCAGGCATCCTATTTCGCATCTTTAAAAAAAAATTAAGTTCATAGTCCTCTTCCTAGCAAATATCTTGAAAAGCCGCACAGAATAAACAGCTGAATAGCAATTGTGGGGGTTAAAAGGAATAAGCATCCAGACTGCTTTTGCAGGGAACTTTGATCACTCTTATGTGCCCACCCCACCTAGTAGCTGCCTGAAGAAGTCATTTAAAGTATAGTGCATCCCACCAAATCATCTTGCACACCTCTCCAGAAACCCTTAGGCCTGTTTTATGCAAGATGAGTGGGGGGGCAGGGATGTTGTGCTGTTTTCCAGGGCCATCCACAAATTGCTACATTTGGGACTGTTTGTTACATTTTGTAGCCCTCTGCTTAGGTGGCCCTCTGCTTAGGTGACCTGAGGAAACTGGTGTGAAACAGGAGTGTTTGCCAGGGGGACACACCCTGCATCCACCACCAGCACTGCTAGAAGTACATACAGACTCTCATCTTTATATCTCCAGCAGCAGCTCAGATCAAATGAGCCACTATCAAGTGGAGGCATCTGAATCCCAAGACCTCTGGGCTTAGGCCTGCGCATAGGATGCCTGCCAATGGATTTGGGAGTATCTAAAGCCCTGGGTGAGAGCCTGAGACAGAGGATGCTTGCCAGTTGTAGCACCATACCTGGTGTTTAGAATGATTGAGGTCTGCCTGCTCAATTGATGTGGTTTTTGGAATGATCGAATTCTGCTCAGTCGATATGATTTGGAACTGATTGGGCTTTTTTGACCTGGAACATGAAATATATTAATAAAAAAAACACCCCTGTAATTTTACAGCCTTGCATTGCTCAGAGTTTGAAGCCCTAGTTCTAGGAGTATTGGTCTTCATTTTCCCCTAATCCCCAGTAAAAGGCATTAATTTTATCCCCAGCTAACTGATAACCTTTGCTCTTGGAGAAGCCAGTGCTTCTGGGAAGCCTGTTTAGCTCAAGAACAAAGAGGACTCCCAACTCAGTACCAGAAGGGACCTGACACATGATGTTTTTGAGAAGGCTCTTGTTAAAATGTTGGCAGCACATCACTAATAGACTGGCAGCCATGGGAGATTTTGGGGATAGAAAGGTACACGGTGTTCCCGGGATTTTGTCTTCGTTGAGTATCAAGGACTTACCTCCTTTTAGTTATGCTGCAAGACAAAGAGGGCAAGAATTTTAAACAAAGTAACTACAACGGTGTATGTTAAATGCCTATATAACTGTGTACCTAAATTGTATGCACAACTAATATAAATATCCAAGGAAACTAGGTAACTCTATTAACAAAAAATTAATTATAAGGATCTTTGTTCCCAGTTAACTGATCTATGCAGCAATTTTGAGTGCAAATTAGGCATACTAATCATTATTATTACCATTTAGATCAGAGCCTAGGAATTAAGATTCCTGAGATCTGTTTTTGGTTTTTCTGTTGCGTTTTTCTGTGACACTGTTGTATGGATGGGTGTCAGTTTTGATCTCAATCCTGAAACACCTGCTAAGCCAATAAAACTGTCTGATAATGGGGGCACCGAGAAGGCAGCAGATGTACAGGATACCTTTTGAAGAGCTGGAACTTGGGGAGGGCCAGAGAAAGGAGCTGCTCAGACTTCAGTCTTGTTAGTGCATGCCTGTGAAGTGGAGACCAAGTATTAATTGGGTGAAAGACAAATCTGAGAATGACGCTAAGATCAAACCAGTAATATGCACAAAGGTAACTAGCAGAAAAGAGATAAAATACTGGGTCTCCCCTTATGTTGTCACATTCCCCCACGTTTGAAGTGTGTATTAAACTGACTAAGTCAAATACACTTTGGCTATTTTTAAATGCATCTTGGATTACTTTTAGCTACAGCATGTTGGCTCTGACCAAGGGACTCCAGGCTAGAATAATGGAATTTAGTGAAAGACAAAGATGAGACTGAAAGGAATTGATCGGTCTGAGTGGCACTTGTATAGGTGTTAATAGGTTTCTTTCTGGATTCTCCATTTCTTTAGATACAGACAACATTTGCAGAATCAGACAGCAACTATTTGCAAACAAAGGTAGCTAGAAAGAGAATAGCAAGTACACATTTGGGCATGTAGGAAAGGTGATCGGTTGGCTAGAATATTGACTGGCTTCAGGAAATCAGGGCTCGGTTCCTGGCTCTGCCATTCATTCCTTGTGCTACCCTGGTTTGCTCTTCACCATCAGTTCCCCACCTGTAAAAAGAAGAGCCTTTTCCCCTATATTACAAGAGCATTGTGAGTAAAACCCCCTGAGTGATTTTGAGATGCTCTGATACTATTACTAAGAAGGTCATGTAAGGCTTGTATAAAAACAAAGTATTGAATGGCCACAGCTCAGGTCACTGAGATGCTCTGAATAAAGGCAGGGAATGCTCTGAATGGCCAGAGTTGCCTGTTAAGAGGTATACAGATTCTTGCTACTCACAGAGGGATGGCAAGCTGGCTGTTAACAAGTCCCAGAGATTCATACAGGACTTGCTACCAGCTGACAGTTGAGAAAATAATTAATATTGATTAGGGGCAGGATGCCCTCTGTCAAACACAGGGAGCTCCCCAATGGCAGAAGACAATTCAGGAAAAAGATGACAGAAGCAGAGCTCTAATTGGTGTGACAGGGAGTTAATTCAGATTTTAGCTCTATGGTGAAACAGGTGTCTGAGAGACAATTCAAGTGCAGGCAGACTCATTAAAGGAAAACTCCAGTGTAATAGACAAGATATCCTAATTGCTACATCTAATTAGGAAGAAGAGTAAATTGCTATGAGCAAAACTGTGCATCTGATAGAATATAAACAGATAATTGACAATCAAACAGAAAGCAGCCATCCATCTACATGGACTAGCGATGCCGTGTACAAAAAGAAAAAAAACAGAGAAGCTTTTAAAGTTGTAAAGATCCCCTAATTTGCTAAATGTTATCATAAAGGGACAATGTCAACTTAAATTGGATTCACACTAAAACATTTGGTAAAAAAATACATTTTATAAATTTGAAGACCAATAGGAATATTTTCTTATTTCTTTAGAAAATTCCAATGAAATCATCTTTTTAAGAACAAATAAGCTTGTGTCTTTAAAGCACTCTGACCTGACAATAAAAATGACTATTAAAAAGTGAGTTGGGTGTTCAGCAACCTAACTTAGATAGCTGAAAACAAATGCAAGAAGTATATTCCTTACAAGTGACCTGGATGTTTAAAATTCTTGGGTGTTTAAAAATAAAAAGCATTATGTGCCCTTTCACAGAGAAATATGGACATTAACAAGCTATGGGATCTGATTGGATATAAATTGGCATAATTCTATGAAGTTAATTGGAAGTGTGCTAATTCACACCACCTCAGGATCTGGCTAAGGGCTTTTAAACTGACAGTGTCCCTTTAACCAAGAATGCACATGGGCTTCTTGGTTTTTAAAATAGACTTAGCCTCCCAAGAGCTCGCAATATCCCTGGCCTCTCCCAGGCATTCAAATCAGAGCTGTTTTTGGAGTCCTGTTTTGCATTATCAAGCTGGACCTGTTTCTGAGGAGCATCCATATAAGGGCAGCTTCTACTGAGACAGTGAGGGATCGTTTTTAATATTAGAGATACTGAAACAGGAGCAGATACTTCTAAAATAATTTTATAAATAGATATTAGTAAATATGTGCCTGACTTGCATGCTACAGCTGGCTGGCTGGCTTCTCTTTTGATGCTTCACACCGATGCCTGCCCTCAAAGTCCATCTGCACAAAGATCACTGAAGGGAGAATATTTCCAGTTGCCTTTCTTGCCCCAGTAGGACTGTTTCTGTCACTTTGTCATGTTGAATAGTACCATACTTTGTAAATGTTCCTCCTGAAATAAGTGGGGGCTCTTGCGAAGTATTGGAGTAGTGTAGTGTGCTGCCCAGCACAGGGAGGAAAGGGATCAAAGCCTGACTGAATATTATTTGTCATGGGACATGCCTGCAGAATACATTCCTCACAATTGTGCAGTCAAATCACTTGGAGTGTCGATGTTTGACCAGCTTCTGGGTATAAGTAAAGCCAAGGAACGTGTGCACTGAACAAACCGAGAGTGAGGCATTTGCAATTAAGTGGAGTGCTCATAAATGCATGGGTGACAGCTACAGCCCTGGCTTTGTCAGTAAAGGCACAGGTGAAAGCTCCTGAGTCGGAAGCATATGCCAGGCTTTAAGCACCGGTTCCTGTGCTTTACCTTCTACATCCATCTCTGATCCTGCATGACAATGACAATGCTAAAGTGGCAAAAAATATTGTTTTCCTAAGCATGCATAGCAGGGATACTATAGGCTAGATTCTTTGCTGGTGCATTTGGCATAGCTCCCCTAAAGATATGCAGTTGTACTGACCTCTACTAGCTGAAATCCTGGTCTCCCCTGTGAAGTGGTTGAGGTTTACTTGATTAATTCACTTTCACAGATCATTCCCCATAGTGTTCCTTTAAACTCTGGCCAAATGCAGACCAGGTACAAATGATGCAGCTCCTTTGCCTGAAGTAAAATTGCATCTCCAGAAACCAATGACTTTGGCCAATGATACTTGATGCTGTTAAAAGGTCCTAGAGATCAAAGCCAGACATCTGAAAAAACTGGCTGACAGGCCTGGAGATGGAAGGCCCCTATTCATTCCCACCACAGCAGCAGTACAAGTGTCCCTGCCTGGGTTCTCCAAAGGGAACTATCCTGGGGAGAAAGCGATCTCAGTCTTTCTGTTTAAATGGCCACCTATTGCCATTTATAAAGATATATTTTGTGATATGTGTATACAGAGCACCAACAGAGGATGATGTCTGAGCCAGACTGACTTGTACTGGTGGTCCATAAGCCATTATCAATTTCTTGGACCCAGCCAGTCTCTCCGATGAAACATTTTCTAAAGGGTAGAGACAAGATCTAGATTTCTGGGGCTGACCCTTTCTTGCAAGCTTTATTTCCTCATAAAACAATCATGTTAGCAGCCTTGTGACAACAGGGTATAGCGTGAATTACAGCCCTAACTAGCTCTTCATGAGTTTTGTCATTCAGTGAGTGAATTAACCAACCATTTCAATCCACCAGGGCTGCTTAAGTGACTGAAGCAATGTTTCTGGCTGCTTTATCTTGAACTGAGAGATCTGTGAATGCACCCCACACAACCACAAGTCACTCCAGCTGTATAAAAATGCTGTTAGGTTCTGTGTGCTATGACCCCTCTTTGAGATGGCTAGTTCCAGCTCTATTACATACATCTCTTGCCTCCCTCAGTTTATTACTGGATTTAGAATTTTATTTTAAGAAGGGAAAAGGTGAAGGAGTCCAGAATTGCATTAAGGGATTTTATAGTGTTATAGCTAAGAGGTAATTTGTGAATTTATTGCATTTCAGTGGTTTAGTTGTACACATGTTTTATTTCTAAATTAGATGAGGTTAGCTAGTACTCCTCTGTGAGTACTTTAGTCATTCTTAAAAGCATTGATTCACTTCAAGTCAGAAAAGGTTGTACATTATGGCTGATCTGTTAGGCCGAGATTAGATTGAAATCTATAGATCTCCTGTGTCTTGGCTTGTTAGTGATTGGTAATGGTATTTGATTAATCACTACTGATGTTTCTTTGACTGTTGAGGGTTTGTTAGTATGCTTGTTAATGCTGTGAATTTAATTGGGCTTTATCAGAATATCTCAATTAGTCAAAGGTGTTAATATAGCCTACACACAGCCCAAATTGCCATTATATTTTCTAAACTACATCTATTTATTTACTTGTGGCTTGTGGTAATGTGTTGCAGTGTGAACATGAAGGGAATACCCTGGTTTACACAAAGTCTCAAATTTTACTTACATTTTTACTTAAATTTTAAAGTAAAATTTTTAAAAAATTCATCCCATATGGTAAGCACCTCGTGTTAAATCTAGGAAAATATAATGTTGTAAAAGTGGCTGCTACTATTTTATCCTGTAAATAGTCCTGTACACTCACCTTTTTTAACATATTTTCTGATACAATAGCTAGGTAAATGTGTACAGAAAATAAACTTTTTTACTTTACTGATCTGCTGTTTGTGGCATTCTTTCCTAGGCCCTACCACAGTCCTAGAAGCAGTTTCCTTGGTCTATAGCAAGAGGACAATGCTATGTATAGGAGAGATGATTGATTGAAGTTTGTAGAAAGCTACGTAGATGTGATAAGGATGGTTGAGTTACATGAATGGCAAT